ATTACCGTATATGCTCGTTTTACCGCCCGATCTTGATTAAGGGCCCGTTTGAATAGTCGCCCGTGTGAACAGAACATAAAAATAAATAAGGGCCGGTGCTTGAATACCCGCCCATTGTAAAAGCTGATTTTTCAGTGGTAGAGAACAAAAGCTGATTTTTCAGTGGTAGAGAACAATAGGGAATAAGAAGCGCTTTTGTCACAACGCTGTTTAATTTTAAGCGCCGGTAGATAACACTCACGCCTTAGGCGTCCAACTACATAACAGATAGCATTGATTACGTAACACCATGGTTCTCAAACGACGCCCAAGTGCATTGTTTCAATATTGATAGGGCGTCGCAAAGCGTAGAAAAAGTCAAAATTTTCGTTATTTTCGTTTAAATCATACTTGAGAACTGGAAATAACAATATATTAATTATTGTAACGATCGAAAATAACAAGCGCCCGTGCTTGAATAAGGGCCCGGTTAGTGAGTTGGTTGGAAAAAATATGGGCCTGGGCTACAAAACGAGCAAATACAGTAACCAATGGGCCGAATTTGGCTAGCGGGCCGTAGCTTGTCCATGCCAGCTCTGGCATGTTTATTTCAGTTTTACGGTTATTTCAGTTTTTTTTTCACTATGTTGAGAATGAATTATTTGAACCACTGCATTAAAGATTGAAAAACAACAAAACAGTTTTTACGCATGGTTATGGTGGAATAAGAAGTTTTTAAATTTAGGCAGAGTGTTAAAGAAGTAAACATATATAAATACAATTGGTGCCAATTTGATCCATTATTTAAATTTTTTTATTCAAACAATTCTTTATTATCTCCAAAATTGAAATATTCAACATAGACAATTGCAAATATTCGATTCATTTTAGACATATCATTTTTTTTATTACCGGTATATCTCGTTTTTTATTTTTTATAGCCTTCAGAAATTAAATTTTTAGGGCCTGTTGTTATACTGTTAATTTCAATTGCTTCGAACGGTCATTTTTTGGCGCTCCAGAAGTGAGTGTACTAATATAGAGGTAACTAATTTTGTTCGCCAACTTTACATCAGGTTGTGTAAAGGGACTGGCACCTATGGGCAGGGGGGATATTCACTTGGCTAACACAGACAGTCCCGAACTTGTAAAAGAATTAAAATAAGTAAAATTGGAATAAAATTATGGCCTAACCCCACCCTGGTACACATACTACGGGAGTACCGATTTTTTAAATATTCTCACTGTTCTGATTTTACCCCAAATCAGAATTAAAAATTTCAAATACAATTATTTTCAAATAATAATTTTATTTGTTCTAGACATCCTTGCCAACGCCAAAAAAATTTATTGCGTCATGTAATTTTTCAATCGGCAAACGCAGCGTTATTTTTATTTTTAGGTCGTTTTATTGGTCATACGAGTGACGTCTATCGTTAGTTTCAATGATTCATGTTCCATACATGGTCCGAGTCAAAATAGAAATATTCAGGTGCTGTTTTTGTATGGCAGTGTATACCCAATTTCCTGTTGTCTTCTAAGAAACGCTCTGCCATAAATAACACTAATAGGTTTTCTAAATAGGAAACTTTTTATTAATGATAGCAGAATATGGCGCAGCGTTGGCGTTCTATTTCTATAAATATTACGTATCTATCTAGAATGCTTGTTTTTAATGATATAGTCGTCCAATTAACTCAGTTAAATAACAAAGGCAGAGAAAATTTTTCTATATTGTCTGCAGTATTGTATAAAAGTGTTTAATCCTATATAAATTTGCTGTTTTTCTGTATATTATACTTGGACAAGGTAGGAATATATTTCCATATCTATCAAGAAAGCTTGTATTTCTGGACATAGTCATACAAATAACTTACCGTGGTTAAATAACTAAGGCAGAGAAAGAAGCTGCAGAGATGTTGCTATAATTAACCACATAAGCTTGAATATAATATGAATTATCTTTTCTAGATTCTGTCAGGCAAGTGTGGAATATGGGGGACATAAGGATTTAAATTGTCATATTTACGTCATACCTGTCTATCTAGAATGCAGTGTATAATGCTATTTGTATAACCTTATTAGGTTATATATATATATATTTGCTGTTTTTCTGTATATTATACTTGAACAGTGTAGGAATATATTTCCATATCTATCAAGAATGCTTGTATTTATGGATATAGTCACCCAAATAACTTAATTAAATAACTAACACAAAAGCATAGAAAAAAAAGCTGTAAAGATCTTACTACAATTAACCATATATATGCTCAATTGTATAAAAAAAATTCTAGATTTTATCAGTCAAGGGTAGTTTATGGGACAAGGAAGGATTTAAATAATCATAATTGTGTCATATCTCTATCTAGAATGCAGTATTCAGGAAAGACGTATAACGCTATTTAAGAAAATTTTTAGGTTATATAGATATAAAGTGATTCAAGAGTCTTGCTGCACACTAACACAAATATATTTCTGTAACGTTTCGTCTGACCAAGGTCAGACTTCTTCAGACATACATTATAGTTGAACTATGTATGTATGAGGAAGTCTGACGAACGTTGCAGAAATATATTTGTGTTAGTGTGCAGCAAGACTATTAAATCACTTAGGATAGTTATCTTTACTCTTGCTACAGCGTCCTTGCATTATATGCATCCATAAGCACAAAAGCATAGAAGGAGGATAAGTAGTTAGTCTCGCAGAAACCTAATAATCAGCGCAATAAAGATATAATTTTGCAGTTTTTCTGTATAGTGTACCTTACAGGTTGCATGCAGAGTGAGTGCAAATGCAAAATTTTCGATACAAAATAGCTGTTGTCTGCAATTATCTAGAACGCAGCATTGTATAACGGTGTCTAATGCTATTTAAAAACCTTTTTTGAGACTACATATAAATAAATTTTTCTTTTTTATGCAGTATACTTGAACATAGGATATCTCAGAGTGGGCGTTACATTTCAATGATTGTTCTATCTCAGTCTAACTAGAAAGCTTGTATTTATGTATATGGTTGACAAAATAACTTCATTAAAGAATTTTGGTAAGATGTTTTTAATAAGTTTAGATGAAAATTTATGAAAAGTGCTACAATACAGCCATATTATTCCTTAGTATCTTTGCAGTCACTGAATAGGCGCACACAAATTGCAGAAACAAACTAAGTTGAATACGCTATTTCAACCTATACGAAAAGCATTTTTAAGCTCAGAAATCTAAAATTAAAAAAGTGTGATACAGTACTGTTGAATTCTCGCTACAGTATCTCAGCAGTCAAAGAAACCACTAATGCAAAGGCAAAGAAATTTGTTGGGGATAGGCGACTCTAATTAATAATATATACACAGATGCACGAATTTGCTGTTTTTTTGTATAGTATGCCTGAACAGAGTGCAGAAAATTTAAGTGTTGGCATTAAATTTATCCAATTATTCAATCTCAGTGTACTGGATTGAGGGGCCAAAATATTGAAGTCAACTTGATGATATTTGTGTTTTTAAGGTTTAGGCTGTTGATGTGCACTAGATGCTTCCAGTCATTTTCTCGCACCGTTTTTTTATTGGATTTTGCTGCTGCCTTGGTTTCTTTTACATTGTGTTTTTGTAAGTCCAAATATCTAAAAATTTGTGAGGGTGTGATGCCAGATATTTGAACCAAGCAATATTCCAATATGGTTATAAATAGGAAAACTTCCATTAAGGTGTGTGTTGTGCAGTGTAGGTGTTAAATTTCTGTAACTAATTCATTTACTACTAGGAAGATGGTAGTTATGGTTAGATATGTTTGAAATTTTGCGCAATGGCGTCATTAAAGCAATGGTTCTCAATCTTTTTATGCTGGGGCCCTCTTATTAGAATATGTCAAGTCTCCGCTCCTCATGTCAAAAATAACTAGCTAACAATAAGCTACAAATAACAGATAGTAAGGCAAAAGTATGTTTTATTCAAAAAACACGTTGAAAATACGTGGATGGAACGTAAATATCCAAAATAAGGCGGGCAAGATCAAATCTAACTACTATTTTTATTTTTATTGAATTTCACGCCGACTCAAAATTTTTTTTATGCTACCCCCCCCCCCCCCCTCCTTGTGGGGCGTCCCACTATTTGAGAACCATTAGATTAAAGCATCAAGCACATTCCTGTATAAATAGGGCATCTGTTTGTGGACAGATCTGTACGAGATTTATGCCAAAGTAGCTTATGTCACATTTTTCAGGGAAATGCCTTTTTGATTTTCTGTCAATACGGACCATCTTTTCAAAGCTGTACGTGTTTGACATTGATAGTGTTTTTTGTCCATTTCTGATTGGCTGTTAGAACTAAACTAACACAAAAATTCGATTTCCTTAAAACTTTAAAATGTGACATACACTTAAGTTAGTTTTACTTACTGTCAATCATCCTAGTTTTTGAATTTTTCTTCATTTTTTTATTCAGGTTTTTGTAGTTAGTTAGAACTTAATAATATAAGCAATATGGGGTCGAAGATTCTGTTGTATTGACGGTGAGATTGGATATATTTATGAGTTTGGTCAAAATATTGTTATTCATGAAAATTTGCTTTGTACAAGGCCATGCTCGATCATTCAGAGGTAAAGAGAAGCTACAGGCACATGCATGGAAGTAAAGGAGATTTAATTTTGAGCAAAGTTACAGGCCCACACTCATAAGTTAATAGGACTTGTTTCTGAGCAAAGCTACGAGCACTCACTCAGAAGTAAAAAAAAACTCATTTTTGAGCAAAGTTATGTGCACTCACTCAGAAGTGGAGGAAATTTATCTCTGAGCAAAGTTACGAACAATCACCAAATGCCAAGCTATAGAAAATTATATACACAGTCTGAAAAAGAGAAACCGTAGGCATGTGACCAATATTTTTGTCAAGAGCTACTAAAACTATGTAGAATTATGGTGGTGCACTTTGTGCCAGTAAATGTCAAATGGAAGTGTTGGACTTCGGTTTTGTTAAATAAAATCCATCTGTCTAAATAATAAAAGTCTTCTTTCTACACAGGCAATGGAAGCAGCTCGAGCCCGCAAAGACAGATCAGGCAGTGCAAAGGATTCCACAAGCAAATCATTGTTCAGAGACGCCAGACCTAAAACCAATATGGTGGGTGGGATAGTGTGGTGTTCTAGAATGGGGGCTGCAACATATTGTATTAAGCATGTGCAAATTCATAACATTTTCAATTATACCAGTATCTTAGTTATGTGTTCTTAATTATCCTTCCACTTCCATGTAATCAATTTGGCAAAAGTCTCGTATTTATAACATGAAGTTTTTTGCAAAACGTCCTGGATTACGGAAACATTCAGGTACAACCATACATAAACAGCCAACTTTCTGCAGGATCACATTATAGATTTTCTTGTAGTCAAGTATTAAGGTTTTTCCATTTTTACAAAAAGGAATTAAGAAATCCGTGGGTTCTGTTTTTTTTTTGGTCCCGCTGTAATTAAGATATCATATTCACTAAAAACTGAAATAAAATTGTTCACAGGGTCACGGTAGCGGAGTCATTGATGCCAAAGACGTCGATATCAATCTGCAGAACCAAAGGGTGAGTCGATTTTCTTGTACTGTAGATTTATACTGCGCTAATGTGAAAGAAACCAGGGCAGCAACAGGCCAATAAAAAGAACGGCCGAAAGAAGGGAAGCATCTAACGCCCATCAACAGCTCTGCTTATACAAGCCGTCACGGATAGCTAAGGAACTACTATAATTTGGTTGAATTTGGGAGTAAAGTTCCTCTGCCTCCACTGAACTATTCAAACGTCCATAACCAATAAACAGGGCAAACTAAAAATACAACCTCACAAATTTCGTCTTTACTCTATGAAAATCAATAAAATTTATTTACTCTATATCCCCGCATGTTAGCCAATCTTGCAAAAACAATCTCACAATTTTCTTAAATATTTTTAACAAATAAAAAAAAATATTGAGTTCTTGAACTTCTGTTTTTTTGGGTCCCTGTCTTGAGTTACGCTCCCTCAAAAATTGGATACGTTCCCTTGTGGGGCTGCCTCACCGTTTGAGAGCCGCTGCACTAGATAGATCATAGATCTCTTTCTAACTTATTTTTTTATCCCCCCTTCCCCCCACATCAAATAAAAATTTCTTTCCTGCTCAGAAGATCTCGCCAGACATGCTGGAGGATGACAATTTCTTTGACCTTATCACAAGACTTCAAGGTCGTAGGATGGACGATCAACGATGTGAAATGAGAGACGACCAATATGAGTTACCTGCGTTTTTAAGACCTAACCCCCCAGATCCCCCCTCAAATCATCACCCTGCAGCGAATGGGGCAGTTGGGGGACGTGAGCCCATTGGGAATGATGGGGGTGGGTATCTTACAACTTTTTTAAAATCGTTTTATCGTTGTGAAATAATCGCTCTTCTCATTCACTACTTGACCAATTGCTATGCATCTGCAGTAGGTACTTCCATAGTATGTGAACCAAGATGGCGGATACCAGGACGTAGTATGTGTACCAGGTTAGGGTTAGGCCATAGTTTCAGGTACGAATACTTCGGGAGTCACTTGACTAGTCCCCGAACTCGTAATAGAACTAAAATAAGGAAAATTGGAATAAAATTATGACCTAACCCTAACCTGCTACACATACTATGTTCAGGTGTCCGCCATCTTGGTTCACATACTTCCGGAACATCAAAATGTGGTTTCAGTGGTTAAAGTTTTTTAGGATATTTTATTCATTTAAAAAATTTTTGTGGGCTCTACGGTATGCGTTCCAAATTAAAAATTGTTCATCTTGTTGCGGTGTCGTGTTCAGAATCATTCCATTCTGGCGGTCAGTCGAAGTTGTGACTGGTATTTTTTACTAGAAGTTTTCTGTGAGATCCTATATTTCATCTAAACTGCGCTGTATCATTTTTAATTATGGGAACATGTTTTATGACATCGTGACAATTGCCTTCCCCGTTTGTATGCCATCGTGACGGGCGGTACCGGTGGTCTGGTGTGACAGATAGCATATCCATATACTTTGTATCCATATATTTGAGCATGATCTTTTATTCTCTTAGACGGCCAACATCAGCAAATTTCAACAATGATGAATATGTTAGCAAACTCACAATCGAAACGCATGGATGAGCAAAGGGTAAGTCTCTCTGGACTTCCTGGGTTAAGGGTCAACGATGGCATCAACGGCGAAGGTGTTATCAATCTGCAACAACCAGATGGCGCTGCAGCTCCATTACCAGGTAGAGTGTTTTATATACAGCACATATTCACATCTTCCACTCTGAACTAGGTTCTAAACAAGCAAATATGAGTCCCCTTTTTTCTGAGAATATGCCCATAGTCTTGCTTTTAGCTGATATCATCCTATTGCTCGCCCATAACTCTGTTCTGAGATAAGGCTTGTCTTAGGTTTTTTCGAATTTATCTCGGAGTGAAGAGAGCCAATAGTCAGATTAATCATATGGCGAACCACGACTTCTAGCCAGGTTACCAGTCCACGTTGGGTATGGAATTAGTTGCCAGTTATTTGTTTCAGATGCGTAAACTTGATGGTGGAGGAAGCCGTAACCGACCGGCCGTTATGTTAATCGTTGTGCGGTGGCGAGAAGTCCAGCAATATTCTCGCATATAATTAACCCTGCATGGGATTCGTACCATGGCAGAGTAATCAGAGGTTCGGTAACAAGCGTATTTCTAGCGCTTAGCACGGACCGCCACACTGCTAAGCCTATGTAATCTAGTAACATTTGGTATTTCAAGGGTCGCCTGAAACGTAGTTCAGTTATTTCTGAGCGAGTGAGAGAGATTTTTCTTTGATAGATTTCCTTAAAAAAAGCAAAGTTTTCAGTTGTTTTTCATTCTTTCTTTTCAGTGGTTCTTCGACCAAGACTGGAAAATGGTGGAATACCAGGAAATGAAAACAGACATTCACTTGATGACACATTTTTTAACGCTCTCATGAGATGCCAGGTGAGTGTTTTGTGAGGAGCGTTTACAATTTCACTCTGACAAAGACGTGACGTGAGAGGAGTCCACTTTACTCATCAGTAGGGCCAGACAGTTCTAATCAAATAGTAAATTATTCACATTGGTTCAGATGGCCGCCATCTTGTTATTTGTCCGTCCACAGGTTGAGATGAAACCATCATTTTTTATTTATTCATGTCAAATCGACCGTTTTTTAACCTATTGAGTTATTGATAAAACACGTTTCTTTCTGTGTGTGAACGCTCAGCAAACTGTCTGAGGGATGAATTCTATGTTTTCAGTGATTTATGTGTCTATAAGGCCCATCTATTCCATTAGGCTACAATTATTGGCCAAAACCTAATCGAAATGAAACTTTTTCGTTCTCAGAGCACGAGGTTAAACGACCAGCGCTCGTCCCCTCCGATATTCGACGCTCCGGTGCTGCCAACGCCCACTATCCCAGACGAAGATTTCTTTGCATTGATTGTTCGAATGCAATCGTCAAGAATCGAGGACCAGCGCTGCCGTTTCAGTCCAGAACGGGAATCCCCTCCTAATGTGGACCCCGATAATGACGACATATCACAATAAATGTGGGACATATTTTGATGCCCACTGTGGCACTAAGCTGAATTTGGTTGTTGTAAATCTGTTCCGTGGCATTTTTGTGATGCCTTGCAATGTTTTTTACTCAATGGCATCAGATATGTGCCATGCCACTTGGCATGCCGCACCTCTCACCTTGCTGTGTTTTAGATAGTGGCATTACATGAGAACCATGGCGCCTACCAAGCGGCATCGAATAGCCACCATTGCTTTGTTCATTGTGTTTTTAAACAATGACGTTTAAAATTGTGGCATCTACTGTGTGGAATCTAAACAAACCATGCCACCTACTAGCGTGGCATGAAGAGGATTATTTTCATTGGAAAGACGCTCACTGCCCTGAGACTTTGGAGACACTGAGGCATTCAATGATGCCTCGAAATGAATTTGATGCCCCGTTTGAATGCCATGCTGCCATAGTAAATATCATCCAACTATGGGTTGGGGATTGACCTCCCATTTTCTTTGTCATGGTTAAGATGCCGCTAACTTCCTAGGCCACCATTGAAGATGTTTTTGCTGCCATGTAGTAATTTTATTTCTAATTATGTCACGCTTGAGCTAACATTGTGCAGTTGTAGAAATGAAATATTAATTATGCATCATAAATACAGTGCTTGAAATAAGCCATTAATTGTGAAGTAACCAACTACGGTCAGGTCTGTGAAGTAGGAAGAAATTTACGCACTGACTTAAAAAAATATTTCGCATGTATGTATAGTTATTAGCCTCAAAATTTGAAAGCGCCCGCATAATTGATTAAAAATTAACAAGGTCTTAACTGGCCTAAGACTCAGTTGTCTGACATCTATTTTTCACTAACAGAACAACGGTGAAAGACTACCATGTTGAAATGGGACAATACACATGGAAATATAGAAGTAAAACTCAAGCGCAGTGGTTCCCAAGTGGGGGCCATGTAACCCCCCAAAAGGGCCACAAAGCAATTGTAGGGGGGCCACAACGTTAGGCTCAAAACTGATCTTCTTTCAATATCAATAAACTAAAATCGCAAAAATTTTTGATACATTTAATATCATGAAAAAAAAACTTGCCAAACTCTGAAAATTTAGGATGTGCTCCCAAACACTTTGGACTACAAAAACTTCTGGCATATTCAGGCCTTAAAGCTCCGAATATCGAATGATCCGAATATCTACTTCCAGACCCATAAAGTGGAGGGTTTCAAAATATCGAACATCAATGAAATTGTGTCAAACTCTCACCCTACAGGCTGGCCTTCATTACTAACATCGGTGAAAAAATTTAATAATTAAAACTTACAACTCTTCTACACATTAGCTGCTTTAATAGTTTTTTATTTCAACTTTGTGTCTGTTTATTAAGTTTAGTTAATTCCAGTACTATTTCTCTGCATAATCATTGAGGTGTGACTGGCCAGAATAATCTAATGCTAATGTAAAGGTGTCAGTGCTGCTATTTTCACAAACTCCCTTATTTTTGATGTTGAATCACACTGAAGTTAACTTGACCTCTTTTTTAACTGCTGCAAAGTTTTTTTATGTGAATATTGTTTCAGATTTCATTTCTATGATCGTAATTTTCAAAAATCAGAATTTGGAAAAATGTTGTAATTCACCTTTCTCATACCTGATTTAAGACCAGGGCTTCAGAGCCGATCGACTGCCGACTTTATGTTGGAAAAAATTTTTCATTCCGGCTGAACGTAGGGAAAATTAAATCTTGATTATGAAACTCTGGCACCTGCAAGTTTCCTTAATTGTTTATTCAAAACGGTGAGGTAAAGCATACCCTCTAAAAATGGCTCGGAACGATTATTTTTTTGTGTGCGTGTGTGCACTCTTATTGTGAAAACGTTAGTTTGAGTACTAACTTCTCATTCACCGCTATGTTTCTTTATCATAGATGTGAGATAGCTTTGGCAATACAGTGGTTGCCTCTAAGTTCACTAAAAATCAGTCTACGTTGCCTCTGAGTGAGTGTAAACACCTTGCTTTGAGCAAATTATTTCTCAGTCAAGTCGCTTCTGTACCGGGTCAAGGTTGATGTTTAATTAATTCAACTTTTTTCATTTTCTTCTTGTTTTATTAACACTGTACTTCTTAGCCTGGTGATGTTTATTCATTTTGAACTAATTTTTTTGTTTTTTTTTTCTTATTTTTATTCATTTTTGAGTGAATTCTGTTAAGAAAAAAGGGTGGCGTTCTCTCCAATGCATAATTTGCAATTCCGAATCCAAAATGTTTCTGAATCTGAATGTATCAGGCCATGTTCGGAAACATTTTTCCACAAATTATTGGGCATTCCAGAAGTATGTGTACTAATATGGAGGTGACTAATTTTGTTCGCCTGTTTTACATCAAGTTGTGTGAAGGGACTGAAACCTAAGGGCAGGGGGTATATTCACTTGGCTAATACAAACAGTTTCCGGGACTCTTAATAGAACTAAAATAAGGAAAATTGGAATAAAATTATGGCTTAACTCTGACCTGGTACACATACTATATAATAAAAATTATGAATGAATAGCCCTGGTTGTTGTAGCAAGATAACTCTTTATAACTAAATTTTGTTTTAATCATGGTTTTTCTGCAAAAGAATAGGTTGCATAGAGCCCCATATCATGATCAGCGCTAGTAATTGTAGCAAGATTGCCCCCTTTTTGATAAAATTATGTTTTAATCATTATTACATACTTCTGAGTTCTGACATTAGAGTAGATGTTGCGACTCCGAGGAGGTTAGAGTTTGATGGAAAGGATGCAAAACGGTTCTTTCAATGCTAAAGGTTGCTGACCCGTGCACTAGGCCATTATGCTGATAGTATTTATAGATTAGTATTAAATCATGATTTCTGGTATTTTTCTTTTTTTTGCTAAATTTATTCCTAATCATGTTTGTAAATACTATATTTCTAATTAAAAATGTTATCAAATATTTTGTTAAAAATCGCTTTCCCTGGTTGCGGTAATCACACATAAGAGACCACCACTCAGCCCCAATAGTAGTTACCCTGGCGCAGCAGTTCCTAACAAGGGGCCGTCGCCGTTAAATAGGGGTCACAAGGTGCAGAACAGATTTTACTTGTCCCTTGACAAGAAAACTTCCTAGTTTCGTTGCTTGATAAGGTTGTTTCACGGGGTCTAATCACTTTATTGAGCATGAATTGTTTGAAACTAATGGGATTTGGCATCTACCAATCATAATACCACTATAAATACCACTGGGCCATGAGGCTTAGAAACCTTTAGAAGGGGGCCACAAGCCATAAAAGGTAGGGGACCTCTGCTATATTGTCAGAGTTTAGCAAACTTGTGCAAAACTTTGACTTTATCCATTTTTAGGGCGTTATTGCTTTGAACGAGAATCCAGTAAAAATTCACTGAAATGCAAAACCCCACTTATTCTCCCGGTTCGATATTGCCTACCCAGTTTCTTATACACTTGTCAGGATGGCAAACACGCGGTTGAACCTGGGATCTCTAACTTGTGTCCAGCCAATACTGCCAGTTGCCACATCTTTTGCTGTGATTATCAGTTTCTGTATGTGCCAGCGCAAATTTACAATAATTAAAGCAAAATGTGGTAGATATGCAGGTTGATCGATTTGTATTTTTGACGGGAGAGTTCTGGAACAAGTCGGGAATTTAGATTTCTAATTGTTAAATTCACCAAGCTTTTCAAAATTGACAGTTACAGGAGGTTTGCATATGCCGAGGTATTTGGATCAAAAATTTGATTTTTCTGGAGCCCAGAGCTGGAGTCAAAAAATTTCTTTCTGGAAGTCTGATTTAAATTGATCTATACAGACGCCTGAGATGATACTTAGATCTTCTAACATTGCTTCCCAAATTTGACTGACCAGGGCCAAATTAAAAGAGGATGGATACTTATTTGCAAGAGGCTGTGATACCAATTGGAACCGGAACCACTTCAACTTCAGCGAGCCATATTAAATCGTTCCGGACCTCGGTTTGAGAGCGACTGTTCTAATCCTTTGGAAAATTTATCTCAATCTTATGACAAACTAGCAGACTTTTGCTTGGACATTTTAACCAGGTGACAGATTCGTAGACTGTACCAGTAGTCTGTCGCACAGTCCCGGTCATGATTCTGAAATGTATAAATGAGCAGAAAGTTGTGGCTTGTTATATGATCGAGCCATCCCTGTTTACCCTACATGATTTCGCACCCAGTGTGGGATGCTGTATTTCTCTCTGCCACTTACTGGCTAACAAATTTAATCTCAACAACTTCCCTCTCTGGCACGATCAATACAAAAACGCTATCATGCCATCTCATTGACAACTCTTTTGAAACTCAAGTTTAATTTAAAATACAAGTATTTAATCAGTAAGTACGGTAAACGTTATACAAATGACAATCAGAAAATAAAAAAGATGTATCCACAGGTCATCTGATAGAATATGGGGCTTATAGATTTTTCACTATGCAGACTTTTTCGACCCTAAAGTGCCCTAAGACGGTTTGTATTATGATTTTCGAACACCTATGGGGTCGCTATTATGAATATATAAAAATAAATATTGTAGACTTGAGAAAGTAAAAAATGAGACTACGGCTCCAGTGAAAACGCAGGTATTCCTGAAGTATGTGAACCAAAGTGGCGGACACCAGAATATACCAGTTTAGGCCATATTTTTATTCCAATTTTCTATATTCGTTCGGGGACTAGCCAAATGACTCCCGTGGTATTTGTGCCTGAGATTATGGCCTAACCCTAACTTCGTACACATACTACGTTCTGGTGTCCGTCATCTTGGTTCACATACTTCGGCAGTACCAACTCTCGTGCCTGGTTATAATGCAATCGCCCTATTTTTACAAGCGGCCACCGGCATCTAATGATATGGTTGGAACTTGGAACAACTTCTTATTTGGAAAAACGGTGAACGTAAGAAATTCTCTCATGTGCAAATCAATACCTGGGTGAAGTGGAACAAGATTCAAACTAGAAATGTGCAATCTGCGCTTAAACCAAAAAATTTGAAATATTTGTACGTAAAAACATTTTCTCACAACTTTTTGAACTGATCGTAATGACATGAACTGCCCATGTCTTGCCTCAACCAGTGAGTACTCCCGTAGTATGTGTACCGGGTTAGGGTTAGGCCATAATTTTTATCCGATTTTCCTTATTTTCATTCTATTGCGAGTTCGGGGACTGTCTGTGTTAGCCAAGTGGATATACCCCCTGCCTATAGGTTTCAGTCCTTTTGCACAACTTGATGTAAAATAGGCAAACAAAATTAGTTACCTCCACATTGGTACACATACTTCTGGAGCGCTAATCAGTGTTCATGAGCGATGAATTCAAACTATGATATGACTTTGCTATAATTCTTTATTATCTCAGTAGCTCTTGGCACTTTAGGGGTCGTCTGTTACTTCCCTCAGAACTTCTTCAGTTCTGGGTGAGCGCTTTGCTTTGAGCAAATTATTTAAAATAAAAAATAAATATATATGTATAAAAGTTAAAAAAATGAGACTATTGTGTCATGTGGGTGGTCCTGGCAGATCAGAAGAATGCTGGCTGTGATCTGTAAAAAGGAAAAGAAACTCGTTGAATATTTGTCATTCATTGCAAGGGTTGCATGCTGCGGGTTAAAAGTCTATAATCTATAAAAACTGGCTAACGTATCCCATACCCAACAAGGACTGGTAACACTTTGTTTCTATCGTTTTAGGTTCAAGATACCACCAATTGTTATGTCATTATCACAGTTTGAGTATATGTATAGTCATAACAGTGTAATTATATCTGTATCTTGATTATACGAACCAGTATCAACATCAGCCTCTTGCGGGCTCTCCCTTCTCAAAATAATTTAGAACTTACCGTGATCATTACAATCATGTTGTTTCGATCGTTTCTTCTGCGCTCGCTCTTTCTTCGTTTTCTTCTCGTAAGCATTGTCATCACTATCGCTAGAATTATCATCTGACGACGAGTCCTCCCCAAACATCCGAGGTTTTTCATAAATACAACAACCTGTATGTAATATTTGACAGTCTCAGTAAGCTAGTGTTAGTTATTATTAAAAACTGATCCCACACAGAAAAAATACAAGTGGCATACACCAGCGGCGGCTGTGGAAAGGTTACTACCGGTTCGCAAAAAGGTGACACAAAAACGGACAAACCCCTAATAAAACCTCTACAATCTAAAGACAAACGCTACGACTAAAAAACATCACCCAAACAGCAAAAATACATTCGTTATTGCTAAACGTACATCTAGCAATACTCAGATATGGATACAGGAGCTGTACAGGCATTGTTACCTTTTACAACATAGTTTTCATTTGAGGCCGGGTTTTCAATATTGACAACTACAAAAACGAAATATCGAGGTGTGCTGGCACGTGTGTCGCTGTCCAACAGGTTTCCAATTTGGAAACTGTTAATGGCCAGCAAACAAATAAAGATCTGACATAGCATCGCCTTTGTTTTTGAACATATTGTCAAATAATTTTTCAAACGTGTGGACTTTATTACTAAAGCTTAGTTTATTTGTATGAAGGTGGTTCGCCAAAATTTTGATCAGGATATACCAGTCCGTCACTTAAAAAAGGTTGC